TGAGTAATATACATATTTTGTGATTCCATTTCTAGTTTTTTTTAGATAGAACCTCAAAAACTAATTAGATAGTTCGGCCAGCGCCACGGCTCACTAGGCTAATCCTCCGCCTTGTGGTGCCAGCACACCGGGTTCTAGTCCCAGTCGGGGCGCCAGATTCTGTCCTGGTTGCCCCTCTTCCAGTCCAGCTCTCTGCTGTGGCCAGGGAGTGCAGTGGAGGAGGATGGCCCAAGTGCTTGGGCCCTGCACGCCATGGGAGACCAGGATAAGTACCTGGCTCCTGCCATTGGATCAGTGCGGTGCGCCGGCCGCAGTGCACCGGCCGCGGCGGCCATTGGAGGGTGAACCAACGGAAAAGGAAGACCTTTCTCTCTGTCTCTCTCTCTCACTGTCCACTCTGCCTGTCAAAAAAAAAAAAAAAAAAAAACCTAATTAGTTCTAAATCAGTATTTTAAAGTAGTTTATGAATAGTAGATATATTTTTATAAGATCCAAATTCTTTCTGTATTGTTAGTTCTACAAAGATAGATTCTGTCACATGTTTACAAATATTCTTGTATAGATGAAGTTACTATAGAGTGAGAAAAGTAATCTTATTCTTCTTCATGTACCCAGTAAAATGTCAAGTGCATTTTTAAAGAGACTTCCATAAACTAATATCAACCCTTTCTATTGATAGTCTTTTCTATGATAATTATCTGTGCTTCCATATAGTTATTTTTTATGTCTGTCTTGGTTCTTTTATTATAATTTTAACCACTCCAAATGATATTGTAGGGTTGATTAGAAACAAACACATCAGAAGAAGGTACTCATCAGGTTTTTCTGGTCATAGAGATTACAAATATAAGGAAAAAAAATCTAGAAACAACTCTGTGTTGTTGGATTAGAACCAGAGGTATCAGTATAAATACCTGTTTTTTTTTAAAGTATGATTTCAGTATTCAGTGTGTATTTTATTTGTATTAATTTATTTTTATTTCATGTGAAAGAGACAGAGATTTTTGATCCATTGGTTCACTCCCCAAATGCCTACAACAACCTGGGCTGGGCCTGGCCAGAGCCAGAAGCATAGAATTCATTTTAGTCTCTTGTGTTGGTGTCAGGGACTTAAGTCCTTGAGTCACCTCCTACTGACTCCCAGAGTACATTACCAGAAAGCTGGAATTGGAACCAGACCCAGGATTTGAACCCAAGCACTCCAATATGGAAGTTCTCAAATTCCCTTCACCTAGCTATGTAACTATAGTACAGATATTGAAAACAGGTAACTTACATTGATATAATACTATTAAGTAATCTACAGACCTCATTTAAATTTTGCCATTTTTCCCCCATTAATGTCTTTTTTCTGGTTCTGAATTCAAGTTAGGATTCCCACTGAATTTAGTTGTCAGTTCTCCACAGCTGTCCCAAGCAGCATCTTACCACTATATCAGTCACCTGCCCAAATTCAGGGTTTTGAATATAAATGAATAGATAAATACAGAAATAGAAATAAATTTGTGTATAGTGTAGATACAAGTACATATCTACTTCTTAGTTCTGTCTGTTGAGAGGACCTAGGATCAGTGACAACCCATTGGCGTTGAGTATATCTACCACCAGATTTTGCTTTCTAGATATCAGTCTTCAGCAAAAGAAACCAAACTCCTTGGAGAATTAGCTGACAGTAGAGACGGGACTGGAAAAAATATAAGATGAGCATGAAATATCTTAATGACTTAAAAGTAAAGAAGTTCTCAGAAAATGATGTGTGTATATCAGGAGGATATAAGAACCAACTTGAAGGTGCTCCCAATGACTAAAGTTGGTTCAATTTAAACAACAAAGTAAATTATCATATTGGATTATAGCTCATTAAATAAGTATGCATGAGTCCATACTGGCATGAATGATTGAATTAGTAAGTGAAGTTGAAGGGGCAGCTTTAAATAAGGAGAATCACTTATTTAAATTATTACCATAAAGGATAAAGGAGAATCATTATCACATACCATAGTAATAATAATTGCAAGTTGAGAACCATTGATGAACCATCTTAACCACTTTAGTGGGTAAGAGTTTGTAAAAGAAAATATGTGTATAATCTTCCAGTATCTTCCCATAATGTATTTATTATTTATAAAGGGGAAAATGATACTTTAACAGTTGTAAAATTTGGCAGACATTACTTGAGGCAGGTGATGTTAATGTTACCAGTAGTAAAACGGCAGTATCAGATGCCCTGCCTACCATCTTGCAGGAAGAGCTTCTTGCCTGTGGTATTCTTGCCAAAATATGAAAGCGTCAGATAAACCAAAATCGTCAGACACTCTGCAGGATAATGGACCTAGACCCTTCGAAAGTATCAGGGTCATGAAAGCAAAGCTGCATGGTATGTCTCAGCTTAAAGACAGTCGTGGAGAACTGACAGCTAAGTTCAGTGGGAATCCTAACTTGAATTCAGAACCAGAAAAAAGACATTAATGGGGGAAAAATGGCAAAATTTAAATGAGGTCTGTAGATTACTTAATAGTATTATATCAATGTAAGTTACCTGTTTTCAATATCTGTACTATAGTTACATAGCTAGGTGAAGGGAATATGAGAACTTCATATATTTTTGTAATATTTCTATAGATCTAAAGTTATTTCAAATTATTAAAAAAAATTGTGTGTGTGTTTTAAAGGAAGGGGACTTAGGGCAGATAGCTTCTAAGGTCCCTTCTGTCTAGCCATATTAGCCTATATTGCAGTCATACAAAATGGAGAATGTTAAAGATTTAAGCACTTTTATTTCCTGTCTGCCAATTCTTTTTTTTTTCTTTTTGTGTAAATTGTTAACTCTTTACTTAGTATAGAGTTGGTCTTCTGTGTATGAAGTTAATCAAAAATGAGTGGAGAACGGGACTGGGAATGAGAAAGGGAGGAGGAGGGGGAGGAGAGGTGGGTGTGTAGGTGGGAGGGTGGGTATGGTGAGAAGAATCACTATATTCCTAAAGTTGTACTTATGAAGTGCATGAAGTTTGTATTCCTTAAATAAAAGGTTTCTTGGGAGGGGGGAGGTGGAACGTTATCAAACAGCTGAAAATAGGATCAAATTCTAAACTATCAACTGAGCTAAGTAGAACATGTCCTGTTGTGAATAGCAACTGTTTTGTGCCATAGTATCCTGGGTAAGATGGTCCTTGCCTCCAGGGTAGTCAGTCTGCTGGAGCTTGATGGCAAATGGTCTCACGTTTCAGTCACTGAGATTACCATTTTCTCTTAAAAAATAGTAGAGCTTAAGAGTGACATTGGAGAGAGTGAAATAAAAATTGGTGTCTTCGAAATTTATCCATGGAAGAAAGAACCCTCAAGAAGGACCTAAGAGTTTTCAATTTGGGTGTTTGAAGGAATAATGACAGCAATTATATAAGATAAGCAACCTAGGAGGCTGTTGGTGTTAAGATCTTTATGTATGCGGGAACAATAGGACATTCACATTCTGATTACCACGAGATAACTGAGTTTGTTGATGTTCAATGTTTCAAAGATATGAGTAATTGAAAATAAAGGATGATATAAGCCTGACATCCCATAATGCTCATTCTCTAGATTGCTATACTGAAGTGAGCATATACCTTTATCCCATTGTGACCAATTGCAGGATGATGAATTGATGTGCTCCATTTAGCAGATTTTTACTGTTGAATAGTATTAAAATGTCAGGAAGTATAATGCAGTTAGGTCAAGAAGTTATGACTCCACCTCTAAACTTATAAAACGTGATATGAATTCTTGGATATTTTTGAGCTATTTCTATTTTTTACATTTTCTGTTTTTATTTTATTTTGTCTGGGTGAAATGTGGCTTTGAATCAAGGTGATTGTATAAATGAAATGGAAATTTCAGTGGCATGATATATTCGATGAAAATATTAAGAAACTGAGTTCTACCATGATAGTTTGTTCACAGAAGTCTTAGCTCTAAGCTTTTGTGGATGCAATGCCTTCTGCAGAGGATTAGAGGTTGTATATTTCATTTCTGCAGTAGGATCATACAACACATATGAAGTTTTCAAGTCTCCAAAGAATTGAAAAGTCAATGTGGGTACTGTACTTGGAGACGTGGATACTGTGTGCCTAAGGTGTTTTTTAATCTTTCATCTTTTCTAAGGCTCAAGTATCATTAGAAAAATAAGCCATAGGCATTATAAATGTGGTCTGGTGAAACTCGATATTCACAATGACAATTTAGAATATGAGCTCCTTGGGAGGAAAGTTAACTTACCACTCTGACTTTGCATCTAAGTATCTTAAAGTGTGCCATTGGTTTTATGAAAAGGTTTTGATCTGCATTCCTAGTTTAAGTTCAAAAGAAAACCTACATTTTAAAGTGTATTCCTTTTCTGGGTGTAGTTACTTTGAACTACAGCATATAGTTTTTCTCATAAATCTAACCTGCCACTATCTGTTTTTAAGACTTTGTAAACTTCAAGTGGTTATGATGTGTGAAGTTTGGATTAAACTAAAATTTTTAGAAAACACATGTTATATATTTTGATTGTTTTGAATTTTAACATAGGCCAGTCAAAAACTTAAGTGTCTAGCAAAGTAATATACTGTACTCTGTTACTGTGAGAAATCACAGAAAATTGCCCTTTCCCATCATGTTAACGATAGACAAATGAAGCAGCTGTTCTTATTCTTAATGTAGTTGTTTGAAAAACTTGCACAATTTAATGAAAATGTCTCTACTCATAAAACTTAAAATGCTCACACATGGAAAAAGTCATAATGTTTTGGCAAATATTGCTTTGTTAGGAATGTGAATGAGGTATACCTGCTCCATAACTAGAATTCTGTATAAATGGCATGACGCTCTGGTGCGGAGCCAGCCGAAAAAGAAGACTCTGGCAAAGGATGAATTAACATTCTTTAAAAATACAGATAGTTCTTTCCCTAACTTTTGGTTTGTGTTGCTAAGGAAGATACATATCTCTCTCCATTTCTTTTTTTGTTTTTTTTTTTTTTCAGGCATAATTCTTGGATCATCATTTCAACTCTGCATAAATGATTTTCTCCTTAAAACAAGTCTCAATGAAAGAAGTCGGATTTTGGTAGGACCATGTTGTGCCACTGCCGATCTGGAAGCTAGATGGTGTAAACACAGTGGCAACCCAGGTCCAGAACACTCCATACCAAAAATATCCGTCGATTTAAGAGGTGGTCTGCTACAGGTCTGTGGCAACTGGCAATATTTTTCTCAAAAGTTTTTATGTCACCTTTGTCCATTTTTTGAACTGTTTCACTAAAATTTAAATCTTTGTGTAGAGAGAAGGAGTATTGTCAGATTGCTGTCTTACTAAATTTTTAAGTTTTATCACGATATAATTCACATGCTATACAATTCACTTATTTAAAGTATGCTATTTGATGGCTTTTTAGTACATTCACAGAGTTTGCAATCATTACCATGGTAAGTTTGAAAACATTTTCATTACTGTTCCCCAGAAAACCCATTAGCGGTCACTCCCCATTACCATCTATACCCTTCTTCGGGGCTAGGCAAGCAGCAATCTACTTTCTGCTCAATGAATTTGCCTATTCGGAACATTTCATATAAAAGTAATCGTAGAATATTCTCTTCTTTTATGACTGTTTTTTTTTTAAAAAAAGATTATTTAAAGGTCAGAGGAGAGGGAAAAACAGAGAGAGAGAGATCTTCCTTCAGCTAGTTCACTAGAGAATGCTATCTTCCGGGCTCCTCCCAGGCCATTATCAGGGAGCTGGATTGGAGGTGGAGCAGCTGGAACATGAGGTGATGCCCATATGGCTCTACCTGCTACACTGCAACACCGGCCCTACGACTGACTTCTTTTACTTAACATAATGTTTTCAAGATTCATTCATGTTTTAGCAGGTGTCATGGTTTTATTCCTTCTTGAGACTGAGTTTTCCATTTTATAAATGTATCACATTTTATTTATTAACAGTTGGCAGACATTGAGTTCTCTCCATTTTTGGAAAGATGGTGCTATGAACATTTGTGTCCAAATGTTTGTGTGGATATATGGATTAATTTCTTTTGAGTTTGTAACTAGCAATGGAATTGCTGGGTCAAACTTTTTTTTTAATATGAAACTTTCCTGAGTACAAAGTACTCAACCTGTCACAGCACAGTGTCTAGACCCATATGAAATACTACCTCCCTATGTTAGGCTCCTTCAATATTATGATGTCTGATTACTAAAACTTAATGCATGTCACATTTCAACTTCTCAGGCATTTGTATTTTTGTAAGATATATTTATTAATTTGAAAGGGTGATGGGGGTGGGGGAGAGAGGGAGAGAGATCTCATGCATTTGTCATAAAGCCAAGTGGGAAATTTAAGAGTATCCAGCTTATTTCTTGATCATTCCTCTTGTGGGTAGATTTTACTTTAATTCTCATGTGACTTTATGTCTCTGCCCCCTCCCCAACTTGACATGATTCCAGAAAGCTTGAAAGGTTGATAGTGATAGAAAATTGAAATAACTGATTTGTCAATAATGAAGGTATATTATTCATGAATTTCTTTTTTCATCTAAAAGTTTTATTGCCCCAGCTTTCTACTGATTTTCTTACTGACATAGAGCAAGATTGGGGAGATCCTAATCACTTTTTTCTGTGTGAGGTTTTAGAGATTTTCAGCATCTCTCAGAAATCTCAACATATTTAACATTAAGCATGAGATTTTTTGTTGCTTTATTGAGAACATTAATTGTATTATCTTTTTCCCAAGGCAGCAAAATCACTCCATATTAAAAGTAACAGAAAGAGCGAAAAATAAGTCTTATCATCTCAACCTTCTGTTACTGTCACTTAGCAATTTAAAGGCAAAAGGATGGTGTTCTACTCCCCAAGTTGACTTCTCACCTTTTTCTATTTAGCAGCATCCAATAAAAGTCAGATTGACTAGAACAAAAGTAGGTTTACTGTAGAATCTCTTAATTTCCAAGAGTAGAGCCTAAACCTATAGATTAAATCTTGTTCACACCTCTGTATTCTTTTCTATGATTTTTGTTTCTTTCATCTGGTTCCCTTTGAATTAATTGTTGTATTATCTTTATCCAATATCTTTGAAGAAATTTAAAAGTATTGAAAATTGTAATTATCTTGGCCGGCGCCGCGGCTCACTAGGCTAATCCTCCGCCTAGCGGCACCGGCACACCAGGTTCTAGTCCCGGTTGGGGCGCCGGATTCTGTCCCGGTTGCCCCTCTTCCAGGCCAGCTCTCTGCTGTGGCCAGGGAGTGCAGTGGAGGATGGCCCAAGTGCTTGGGCCCTGCACCCCATGGGAGACCAGGAAAAGCACCTGGCTCCTGGCTCCTGCCATCGGATCAGCGCGGTGCGCCGGCCGCAGCGCGCCGGCCGTGGCGGCCATTGGAGGGTGAACCAACGGCAAAGGAAGACCTTTCTCCCTGTCTCTTCTCTCTCACTGTCCACTCTGCCTGTAAAAAAAAAAAAAAAAAATTGTAATTATCTGGCAATCATTAGTACCTACTGGTCATACTTCTGCTACAGACTAATACTCACATGCTGGAGAAGAAAACTTACTCTTCCCTGTTAGAAGAAAAACTAAATCCCTTTGTTCTCAAACCCTGCTCTACCTCCTGTCAGTTGATTCTCAGGATCTGTGAAATTCTGGATGTTTCCACGTTGTCACTAAACAGATGTTAGGGACCTTGTAAGTGTGAGGTCATTGAGCAGGTTCCCTCTCTTTTTCTCTAAAAAGTAAGAGTGCTAAGAAAGAAACCCTAGGATCAGGTTTGTTTAATCTCATGACCACATGTGGGAAGCTACTCCATAAGGTTATTATTATTATTCTATTAACATTTTGTCCTAGAGGATCTTGATATCTTGATTACTTTCTCTCAGAGTATAATAAATGTTCTCTTCTGTGTTTGCTAAATTATTTCATATACGTTACTTCATATCAACATAACTTCATTAATGCAGCATTTAAAATTCTCAGGATATAATATATAATTTACTTGCTTGTTATATATTTATACAGGTAATAGAATTTCTCCCTGTAGATCAACTAATTTATAGAAATTATAATTATCAGTAATTAAATTGAACAGTGTTACAGCCTTGCATTAATTCAAATATGACTGTACTAATGATTCTCAAGAAATGTTTGTATTAAGAATCACTGGAATTTTTCATATGATTTTAAAGGTCTTCTGGGGTCAAGAACATTTGAATTGTATAGTTCTTCTGCATGAATTACTGAGTGATTACCTCAAGAAAAATGGAAATGTACACATCTCTGAACCCATGTCTCAAATGTCATCTCCTGTGGAAAAGAACCAGACTTTTAAAAGTGAACAGAGTTCAGATGACCTACGCACGGGTCTGTTTCAGTATATACAAGATGCTGGTGAGTAGCAGCCACTTCGGTATGAGAGACAGAGGAGAGGGGGAGAGAGAGGGAAAGGGAGGGAGGGACAGAGAAAGAGTTTTAAATGCACGTTAAGTAAAAAGACATCAAGACGACTTGACAAGGATGTTAATACATTACCATTCAGTGTCATTTAAAAGGGATTCTTGATTTCCTTCTGCATCAAAACATAATCAACCAGCTTCCTTATATTCTTCTTCACTGTAATAAACCAGCACATTCCTCCTTTAAAAGCATACAATTAATTATATATTTATTTGACAGAACCTTTGAAACTACCTGGTGTCTATGAAGTCTTGTTCTGTAATGAAACTGAAGATAGCCCAGGGATGATGCTGTGGAGATACCCGGAACCTAGAGTGCTTACCCTGGTCCGGATAACTCCCGTGCCTTTCAACACCACAGAGGATCCAGACATTAGCACAGCAGACCTCGGAGATGTGCTTCAGGTGTGTAATAGCTCTTAATGTGAAAATGAACACCTTGTAACAAAGTGCTGATCATATATTAGGAAAAATGAAATGTTTGGAGCATATCATTTCTTACGTCAGTAGCATCATAGAGAAATGCACACATGTATGTAAATAAACTCTATGTATATATAAACATATATAATAGAAATTTTAAAATAAGGGAATATAATCATCTCTCAGTATACATGGGGAGTTAGTTCCAGGGTCCCTGCTGATACCAGAATTCATCAATATTCAAGTCCCCTATACAAATATAAGATGGCATAATGTTTACATGGAGCCTATTCTCATTCTTCCATGGACTGTAAATCATCTCTAGATTGCTTATAATACCTAAAACAACATAAATGCTAGTAAATAGCTGTTGTACTATATTGTTTAGGGAATAATAACAAGAAAAAAAAGAACATGCTCAGGATAGATGCAATTTCCCCCAGGTATTTTCTATTTTTTTGAAAGGCATAATGACTAAATGGATTGAGGGGGAAGAAAGATCTCTTCCATCTTGTTGTTCACTCCCCAAAATGACCGCAACAGCCAGGACTGCAGGACTGGGCCAGGTCAAAGCCAGGAGCCAGGAAATCCATCCTGGTTTTCCACTTGGGTGGCAGAAGCCCAAGTACTTGAACCATCTTATACTGCCTTCCCAGGAGCAATAGATGGAAAATGGATTGAAAGTGGGGCAGCTGGGACTGCAACTGTCATTCCATTATGAGATGCAGGTTATCACAAGCAGTGGCTTAACCTACTGTGCCACAACACCAGCACCTCCCCAAATATTTGCAGTCGTGGTTGGCTGAGTGACTACAGAGCCTGAGGGTACAGAGGGATGATGGTGCCGTTAATTCAGATTCCTGATCCTTGTCTATCTCCAGGGTTCTCAACTGTACTATTCATCTTGTTCTGAATAGGTTACATGCTCTCTAACTGTAATGGAACAAGCTCATTCAGTTTACCACACATTTATCAAGTGCCTGCCATGTAGTAAGAGTTTCTAGGACTTTGTTGCAAAACAAAATATGCCAGAATTGGGTGACAGTAGTTTTCATTTCCAGAGCTGAAAACAGTCTCACTGTTTGAGGTAGGTTAGTTTCCTATCAAGAAAAACCATCTACCAGTGATCATATTCCCCACGGTTGAAAGTTTGTTGCTTGTTACTTCCCTGAGCTTAATGTAAATGTGCTGGTGATATCATTGTATTATTATTATTATTATTATTGTACTTGTAAATATTCTAGGGTTCTGAATTTCTCTGAAAATTTGATTTTCCCCTAGTCTTCCACCTATTACCTAGGAGTCATTGCTGATTGCTCTTTTTCCCCAACCTATCAACAGAGCCTTTCAGTTCTACCTCCGAAATATTTCCTATTCCGTCTAATTTTTTCTCTGTTTCTGCCAGCACAAGTTGAGTCTATACTGCCATCAACTTTCCCTACTCTGGTTCCTGATTGGTTTCTATGGTTCCATTGCTTACTACTCGTAATCAAATCATTCTGCAAACAGCAGCTGAAGTGATATTTTCAAAATGTAAGCCATGGCACATAACTCTTCTAATGTAAAACCCTGAGGTGATGTCCTCTAATACTGAAAACAAAATTCAAATCTCTTGCCATGGCCATCCAGGCGCTGCCTATTTCTCAGACTGGAACTCGTGCCAGGCTCACCCTTTCTCCCCATGCACCAACCACACTGGCCTCCTATTTGTCCTTGAACATACCATTTCAGTCATTTCTCTTGTTCTTCTGTCACATTTGAACATCACTTCTGCTCACTTTGCCCATCAGGTACCAGCGCAAATGTCATACGTTGGCAAACCAACTACCCCTACCACTGTATGTATCACATAGCTCTTTGGCTACTCAAAATTATCTTTTTCATTTATTTGCTTACTTGCTTATGCTCTTGCTTTACCGTTATAAAGTAAGCTTTTGTGTCTTAATCCCATGTCTCCAGCCTCTGGTACACAGAGATACACACGGACTTTTTAAAAAGAAAACTTCTATTTTTATTTTATTTTATTATTTTATTTTATATTTTATTTTATTATTTTTAAAAATAACTTCTATGTGGCTAAAAAATTAGAGTAATAATACAAAGCAGAGGAGTTCAAGAAAAATATTAATATTGATATTATTATATTATTTAATTCTTTTTAAAATTCCTGGTTATAATGTATTTAGCCAAGTGTTCATCTTCTGCATGGATAACAATGAAACATGTGCAGAGTATGCAGAACAATCAGATTGCCAAGATGTCAACAAGTCTCTACTTTTATTCTTACTTCTTCAGAAGTTGTTTCTCCTCTGTCAAAGTCATCTTCATGATTATGTTTTCTGCCAGAACTCTTGGATTATTTTTGCTACATGAAATAGCAATATATGTGAATTTTACTATCTCATTAAACTTGCCTAGAGGCAGAATATCTGTGTGTCATTTTTCAATCAGTCATTTTTCAATCAGCTGATTTTTAGGTTCATATCTGTAGCTTAGTGCTGATACATTTATTAGCAAACATTCACATAGCTTATTATTAGTGGTATAACGTCATTAGTATTAAATATGGTATCTAAGATAGTAAGTCTGTTTTCTAATGGTGTGTTCTCTGCTTGCTGCAATTAAAGGTGTGAGGCATAGAAGTTAGGAGGAAGAGCTGCAGCTGGAATGCCTTGGTTCAAAATAAATCTCTGCCACTTACATACAGTGTCACATTAGATAAGTAACTTAATCTCTTAGAATTGTGTTTGTTGTTTTGCTTTTTTCTAACAGTAAAATCAGGCTAATAGTAATTTGATGATTGTTAAGAAATAATATTTACCTAAAACAGTAGCTGGCTCATAGCAAGTGTTACCTACGTATGAGTATTACCGCTGCTATTACTATGACTCTTGCTGAAACTCTTTTCAGAAAGCCAGGAGCACAGGCTAGATCAGAGAGAGCTCCAGTCTGACAGATGTCTCTGCAGATCAGCTGGAGGAGTCAGAGATCTGGGGCAGTCTCAGAGGCCGAGGCAGTGAATCTGGCATATAAGTAAAGCGCTACAGTGCAGGAAGCCTTTCAGGTTTCAGCATGCAGAGAGTTAGTATTGGAAATGTTCTACCATGTTTCATATTTGTAGGAGAAATAAGAAACCATAGTTGAGGCCGGCGCCACAGCTCAATAGGCAGCGCCGGCACACCGGGTTCTACTCCCGGTCGTAGCACCGGATTCTGTCCCGGTTGCTCCTCTTCCAGTCCAGCTCTCTGCTGTGGCCCAGGAGTGCAGTGGAGGATGGCCCAAGTCCATGGACCCTGCACCTGCATGGGAGACCAGGAGAAGCACCTGACTCCTGGCTTCGGATCAGTGCCCTGCGCCAGCCGCAGCGGCCATTGGGGGTTGAACCAATGGAAAAGGAAGACCTTTCTCTCTGTCTCCCTCTCTCTCACTGACCACTCTGCCTGTAAGAAAAGAAAAAGAAAAAAAAAGAAACCATAGTTCAGAGAGAGGAATACTGACCTATGGAGCAAGATAAGGTTGCAGTAACTAGAAAAAGGGAGAGCTTGGATCTAATGATGAGAAGGAATGCATGCCAGAATGAACAGAACAGGATGGCAGCAAAGCTGGCCTAGTGCTATGCTGCTTAGCTCCTGATCCAATCCTCATAATCTGACTAGAAGCAGAATTTGTCCCACAGTTTGGTGGAGTTCTCATCTGTGAAAAGAGCCACTTTGAATTGTAGTATTAAAACCATGCAGACTATTCTGTTTCCTTGGTAGTTTTGTTGAGTACAGAAAATATGTGGCTTATGTTTGATTCGATATAACAGCTCTTTTCTTGAATACCTAAAGCATCATACTCTAGCTTGCTTCTGGGAATCTAGCTACAGATAAGGCACTGTCCATGAGTTTGGATCTCAGTCTAGTGGGGAAGTTTCTGTGGTTGGTCGAGATTGAAGAATCTCCCTATCCTGGCTTTCAAGGAGGACCTGTCTGTTCTCAGGATCATTCTCCTATGATTACCTTTAGGTCTATACTAGAAGCCCAGCTAAAATACAAAATAGCTGATTAATTGCAGGGAGCTAAGGAAAGGGGTGTCCTTTATCAGCTTGGTATTATGCAGGTGACTAGGCTCTGAGGTCTCCACTCTTGATCCGTTTTTTACTAACAGTGACCTAAGGCTAACTGTATCTCTCGAAGCTTTTTTACTGAACTAAACATTGGCATTAATGTTATCTGCCATTCACAACCGTTGTGAGGTATTACATTAAAGGAATTTTATAGCTAATATACTTATATAAATACTTTATACATAGTGAGATTTTTATTTTATTTTTAATTAATTTTTAACAGATTCAATATGATTTGTAGATACAAGTCTAAGAACATTAATGATATTCCACTCCTTCCTCCCTCCCTCCCCCTTCTTTCCTTCTCCCTTTTTTTTTTTTTGGTTTTTGAGATAATATATTTTAAATTGACATTACAGTAAAAAGGCTTAATACTTCAGCAAATGAGTTTAACAAATAAAAGACAAAAAGACTCTAGTAGAAATACAGACAATGGCTAAAAATGGTAATTGTATGTATAAATGACCATTTCATCAATATACTTTTTTTGTCAATTAGTCATTCATAATTTCTTTCAATGAAATATAACTAATGACAGTGTAACATCTAAATATTTCTTGTGTGGTTACAAGATAATAATTATGTTCATTTAGACCTTAAGCCAGTTTATGCACAGTAATAATTTAATACAGATTGCAATGCAAAGAATTATATATTACATGTGTTGGTACTCTATTAGTTACCACAGGTCAGGGAACACATATAATATTTGTCTTTTTGGGCCTGGCTCATTTCACTAAGTATAATGGTTTCCACTTGCATCTATTTTTTGTCAAAGATAGGATTGCATTTTTTTTACAACTGAGTAATATTCCATAGTGGATCAGTACCACAATTTCTTAATCCAGCCTCAGATTGTGGGCATCTGGATTGA